CCTACAACAAGCGCCTGCTCCACACACGATGAATCAGGACCATCCAACTGCAACTAATTAAACCTGGTCATTCCTCTTGTAACTACATTTGTTTTATATGTTGCTTTACTATGACAAAAAGTGAACGAGGGTTTTAATGAAAAGCTGCTAGTCTGCTTCCCGTTCTCTCCTCCTCTCAATACTCTTCATGGAATCAGAGCTACCATAACCTTATGACACCACCTCTCCTCCCTCTGGCATGGCATCCTCCTCCCCCACTACTTCTCTAGAGGAAACCCCACAACTCAACAAACCCCTTTCCCGACCAGCAACCCAATACTTACCCAACTGAAGTTCATCTTGAGCAACATCTGAAGCCTTGTCTCCACCCAGCTCACCTCCAACAATCACCCGACTTGGAAGGCGAGGGTCCACAAATTATTCAAGACCATGGGTATGATAAGTTCCTCGATAGCTCCTGCTCCTATCCGACAACACATACCCGAGGCCAACGACATTCCCCTTCTCAATCCTCATTTCACCAAATGGATGTTGATAGATAAAAACTTAGCAACATCTCTCCTCTTGGTTATCTCCTCATCCATTCTCCCTCTAGACAATTGCCATGATATCTGGATAATGATCGAACATCGACTCCGGTCCTTCAACCACTCCAAGATCATCCAACTGAAGAACGAGTTTCACTATCTCATTATGTTAAAATAATCTATGACCAAAAACTAATCTGAAATCAAAGCCAAGGTTGACACTCTCGTAGCCGTCGAAGCTTCCCTAAATCCGAAGGACATCATCACTGGAACCTTTAATGCATTGCTCTCTACCTATCATGTCTTCAGAACAATAATCCACATAAAAACCTTCAACCAATCCCACTCGATGATCTCTACACACTACTATGTAGCGAAGAAATTAACCTCGCAAATGAAAAAACTAACGAATCGTCATATTCCACTGCTCTTGCCGCCTCCCAAGGCTGAGGAAGAAACCACAATACCTCCTACATATCCAGCTGTAATAGAAACAGCTCCGCCTCCCGCTCCAATTAAAATACTCGCAACTCCAATCACACCAAACAAGTCCCTTCGATAAAGTCCCTTCGATTTACTAAATCTATCGCAAAAACGGAACATGAAGCCTTCAAGTGTTGGTTCGGCTACGACAAATCATACCAAACTCCTATAGCACTAGTCACCTCAAAGTCTGACTCTACCGATGGCAAATGGTACCTTGATATTGGTGCTACCAAGCACCTAAGTGCTACACTAAATCATCTCATACAAGCCCAAGACTAAAACTGAGACAACACCATTACAGTCGGGAACATACAAAAACTACATATTGCACAAGTCGGCCAAGAGATCCTGCCCACCCCCACGAGTAAGCTCCAACTACCCCAACCATGAGTAAGCTCCAACTCTGAGCTTATAACCTCATTTATATTCAAAAACTAACGAAACCCAACTCTTGCTCTATTACTTTCACCTATGTTGGCTATCACATCATTGTATTAAAGATAACGCACCATCCTTAAATGCCACTGCATTCACGGTCTCTATTGTATCATCCCTTCATCCATTAAGTGATCATCAACACCACTTGCTTTGATTTTGGTTCAACACATTTCACAACTATGGCATCAATGACTTGGACATCCATCACGCAAAAAGCAATCAACAATCGCCTCCAAAAATTCTTCTTTACGCATTCCCCCCCGCTCCCTCCCTCTCACCCCTCCCTTTTTACAAGCATCCAAATACTATTTGGTTTTTTTTATGATGAATGCTCTAGATAAGCCTGGGTCTATCTTCTTCTTCACAACAAAAATGATACAACCAACAAATTTCTTGAATTCAAAATATGGTTGAAAATCAATTTACATTTAAGATTAAAAAAACTTTGCAAATATGGTGGCGGAGAATACATCAACACCATCTTCCACACCATCCTTAAACAACATGGCATTGTACATCAATACACATGCCCCTACACTCCCTAACAAAATAGTGTCGCCAATTGCAAGCACCACCCCCTCATTGAGACCATTTGCACCATCATGACCAATGCCTCTCTCCCTTCCCACCTATGGGCTGATACATTGCTTACAGCCACCTACCTGCCTACATTCCACTATCACCAACCCCAGATCCCCATATAAACTACTTCATCTTCATCAACCATCCTATAATCATCTCAAAATAATTGGCTACATATGGTTCCCTGGCTCTGACCATATACCAAACATAAACTTGCTCCACTATCCACACCATGCATATTTCTTGGCTATGCGTCCTCACAAAAAGAATATCACTGCCTTGATCCTAACACCAACAAAAAATACATCTCGCCACGTTCAATTCAACGAACAAATATTTCCCTTCCACCAAACAAACACTAACCTCACCCAATCACCATCACCACCACCCACTCTTCCCCTGTTACCACTTACTCTCATTACCACCCTACCAAACCAACCCCAACATACAAGCTCTGCGATCCAACACCACCCGCCACAAACTATATTACCGACCACCATCCTTTACCCACTCACACCACTACATGTCGAATCAGCAAACAAACATAACTCTTCCCATCATTTCCCCTACTACCTCTCATCATCCCATGCAAACATGGTTAAAAATAAACTCTCTAAAACCCCGCCAAATACTCAACCTCACCCATCAATTTCACAATGAACAAACATGCTACTCATCTGCCATCAAACATAAACATTAGTGTGAAGCTATGTCCACTGAATTCCAAGCCCTAAAATCTCAAGTTATATGGTCACTCGTCCCACTGTCACCGCACCAAAACGTCCTTGGATGCAAATGGATCTTTCACATCAAATTCAATGCCGACGGATCCATATCACACCACAAAGCCCACTTGGTTGACAAGACTTCAAGCAACAACACAACCTTGATTACACCGAAACATTCTACACCAAAACATTCAGCCTAGTTTCCAAACTACCAACCATTCGAGTTGTCATTACACTTAGCCTCCCTCACAATTGGCCAATTCTCCAACTTGACATCTCCAACGCATTCCTTCAAAGTCATATAGCAGAAACAATTCACATGTCACAACCCCAAGACTTTGTCGATGCAACTCATCCTCATCATGCTTGTCATCTAAAGAAAACCCTTAACAAACTCAAAGAAGCACCATGCAAACATGGCTAAAAATAAACTCTCTAAAACCCCGCCAAATACTCAACCTCACCCATCAATTTCACATGAACAGACATGCTACTCATCTGCCATCAAACATAAACATTGGCGTGAAGCTATGTCCACTGAATTCCAAGCCCTACAATCTCAAGTTACATGGTCACTCGTCCCACTGTAACTACACCAAAACGTCCTTGGATGCAAATAGATCTTTCACACCAAATTCAATGCCGAAGGATCCATAGCACACCACAAAGCCCACTTTGTTGACAAGACTTCAAGCAACAACACAACATTGATTACACCGAAACATTGAGCCCAGTTTCCAAAGTACCAACCATTCGAGTTGTCATTACACTTAGCCTCCCTCACAATTGGCCAATTCTCCAACTTAACGTCTCCAACGCATTCCTTCAAAGTCATATAGCAAAAACGATTCACATGTCACAATCCCAAGGCTCCGTCAATGCAACTCATCCTCATCATGCTTGTCACCTAAAGAAAGCCCTTAACAGACTCAAAGAAGCACCATGCCAATGGTTTATTACACTCTCCACCTACCTTCAAACAATCAACTTTCATCCAAGCTCTGTCGATCCCTCGCACTTTTGCCTCCACAACAATCTCAAACACCTCTACATGCTAATCTATGTCGACAACATTCTTCTCACCAGAAAAAAATTTCACCCTCATCCAATCTACCATCCATAAACTCCAACCCCAATTCCACATGAAAATTCTAGGACCTCTATCTCACTTCCTTGGCATCAAAGCCATCAACACTTCCTATAACATTTACCTTTCCCAATCGCACTATGCCAACGATATACTCATCACCGCGAACAACTCCACGCCAAATCCCTGCTCCTCCAAACAATCTACAATACCCCCAAATCTCAATCCCATGCCAAACCCCACCCTCTGCAGTCAACTTGTAGAATCCCTTCAAGACTTGACCGTAACCAGCCATGACATCTCCTTCGTCATCAACATTGCCTCCCAAAATATATAATCTCTCACACAAATCGAATTTCATCAACTCAAAAGAATTCTCTACTACAATAATGGCACCAAATAACTTGGCCTCCCCATCTGCCGATCACTTCTCACACTCAGCCTACACCGACTTAGATTGGATAGGGAATCCCACCAATCACAAATCCACCTCAAGCTGCTGTGACCGTCGCCTGCTCCTCCGCTGAAGCTGAATACTGAGCCCTTACCTCGGCAGTTGCAGATCTCATCTGGCTTTATAGGCTACAAACCAACCTCAACACACGTCAACTCCAACCGACAACTCTCTACCATGACAATTAATCAATCATTGCTCTTGCTAACAACCCCGTTTTCCAATCGCACCACACATTGACATTGAATGTCACTTCATACGAGAATGCATCAAACAACAACTCCTTATCGTTCTTCAAACAACTAGCCAAGATCAACTTGCTGATATCTTCACCAAGGCACTTCCCAACTCTAAATTTCACCACATCAACTCCAAGCTGACACTTTCCTCTGAAACCCTCAGCTTGAGGGGGGATGTAACAACACCTACACAAGTGTTTGCTCCACACACTACTCCACGCAAAACAAATCAGGACCATCCAACTAC